TGAAAGGTTTTCTTAAATGCTCATCATGTTTTTTGCTTACAACATATAAAGGTCAATTTAAGGGAAAAATATAGCAGGGGTCAGTTTTCCACTAAAATTAGGGTGCTTATGATTTTATTGCTAGATGAGTGTACTTATGCATTGACCATTTCTCTATTTAATGAGAAGATTGAATCTCTCTGTCGAGAAGGTGGTCCAAAACATTAATAGGTTTTTGACAAATCTGTCAGTTGAACATTGGCCAAATGCTCATTTTCGAGAGACACGGTATGGTGAGATGTCTTCTAATGTTACAGAGTCGTATAATGCTTGGATTTCAAAGATACGATATTTACCTATTACTATTATGGTTGATATTATAAGGAGTCAGATTATGGACCAAAGGGGATGTTGGTTGAAAGAATCTTATAGTTGGAATGGGAGTATATGTCATAATATAGACTCCAGAATAAGTGTAGCATTTCATGAAGATAGATCTTGGTCTGTAAGGATATCTAATAATGATGTGTACGAGGTGAATTCATATCCGTTGGTTTCTGATGACATTTTAAATGACACATACACATGTTATCAATGACAAATTAATGGATTCCCTTGTTCGCATGCTTTTTGGGCGATATGCAAAGAATGAACGGAATATATATGAATTCATTAATTATTATTTTCATATGAGCTCATATAGGAAGGCATATGCGGACCCAATACACCTAATTCTGACACTTGGTCGTCCAGATATTTCGCCCGAACCGTTTCATATATTGCCACCATCATCTAAGCCTCAACCTAGATGCCTAAAGAAACGAAGAATTAGGTCGAGATAAACTCATTAGACAGATTCATTGTGGGCGATTGGGCAGCCACAACAAGAAAACTTGTAATGCACCGTTGTGATTCCCATTTTTTTTTTATTTTTGGTAAAATGTTATTAATGACAATGTCGTTGGTGTTATTTTAGATTTATTTTTTATTAAACACGGAATTAATTAAGAATTTGGTTATCAAACTTGAAGTTCGTTAAAGATTGAGTGTGTTGGAGTGGGTTAGAATTCAACATGTTTTTTGCCATGTGGAATACCCTTCATATCTTTAGCCATGTATTTACTATTTTTTTTTCAGTTGTACATGTATATTTGGCACAGTGCTACCAACCCATGTCTCAGACATAACAATCAATGTCACAATCACACCATGCAATGTCACAATGATATCATTCAATGCCACACTGATGCAACCCACAACATGCAAACAGACAATGACACATTGATACAAACAAATGTCACAGTGATACAAAAAAATGTTACAGTGATACAAACCAATGACTCATTATTACGAACCAATGACACATTGTTACCAGACAATGCCACCCTTCTGCCAACCAATGTCATCATACTATAAACCAAAAAGTCACAACGATACCTTTTAATGACAATGGTACCAGCAACGACACACTACTACCAGCCAAAAGTCACACCGCTATCAACAAAAATGTCACACTGATATCAACAAAAATGTCATACTACTACTAATGAAAATGTCTAAATCCTGCTAACAAAAATGTTACATTGCTATCATTCAAGTTCCCAATGTCACACTGTAACAATTCAAGTTTCCAATGTCACACTGTAACAATCCAAATTCTCAAAGTCCCAATGTAACACTGTTATATTACAAAGTTACACTGTTATAATCCAAAGTCACATAAGTACCAGCCAAAGTCACATAAGTATATTCATTGACAAACCCATCATGATAAAACTAACGTATGAAGCATTACATAATATCTTCATTGTTCACTAATCACATTTACATTTCACATATCAAATAATAGTTTGAAGAACCAATCATGTATCCCCAAATTTGTCTTTCAATGATTGTCTCACTTTGAAATCGTCTTCTATCTAAGAATTTTGATGATTCAGAAACATATATAGCATATCACTTCGAAAGTTTTTTATTTGTTTTTGTGTCAACTTCTCTTCTACTTACTCTCCTGTTGCCAATTTTTTCATAATGTAACAAACGTACACACTACAGTCAACCCTGGAATATGGTTTACGTTAGTTTCTTTAGAATATTTGTTTAGTTACCCAATTAATAAAAAACAATACTTACATGCTAGTTTCTTTAGAATATTTGTTTAATTACCCAATTAATAAAAAATAATATTTACGTGTTTGATTTATGTTGTGGACTTTTCTCACATGATATCATTGGTCGTACTATGTCTTGCATGTCGAGAAGATTACCACTGTCTGACATCAATTCTTTAATCTTGTTTTCTACATAATTTTTCTGTTATTGCGTGCAATTAATCAGTTATGGGCATGTTGAAAAATATATGTTAAGTTCGCTTGAGTTTAGAAAGTGTGTATACCAAAATGATAGCATCTTAGAAGTATGGATCCCTGCCACCCTTTGTCTTTAGACGTAATGAGTTGTAATATATCCAAACCCCTTCATTAGTGTCCAACACAAATAGGGTCCAATGGTCTGAAACATCTTTATCCCTATGGCCATTTGAGTTCATTGGGAAGATGATGTAACATGCCTCTACACCAGGCAGCAAATACTTGTCATTTTTCTCTTTTCTAGCTTTGTCCATCTCTGGGGAACGTACAAGTATCTGCATATTAACATTCATATGAATAAGATATGACCATAATTATCAATAACTCATATATTTATTGCTAATGATTTTTACCCAACATAGGCTGTTAATGAATATGCACCACCTGCTGAAAGTGGATGATTCATTGCATTTGTTAAAATTCAACAGTATATCTGTTTTAACACATTTATTTATTTATTACAATGAACAAAAGTAATCATTCATTTATTGCATTTTTAAAACATTTTATACGTACATTGTTGTATAATTCAAGCCCCCTTATAAGCTTCAGTGCATCTTCAATATCAATGTAACTTCCATACCCAATTCCAGACTATATTTTTGCCTTGCAATAGAATGTCATTACAGTTGCATAACATTAAAATATAGGTGTCCATGCATATTTCTTACATAAAACATATGATACTTATGTGTAACCTTCAGCCTCATAAATTTGTTTTAACTTGTCGAGATTAGTTGGACTCAAATAGTTGCACACCTTCCACAATTTTTTAGTGTCCCTTTTGGACATTCATTTGATTGTGTTGGATTTTCATGTATTTGATCAACATCGACAAAATCTTCTTCTTCTTCTTGATCACTTATTTTGTTGGTCCCGTCGTTTTTCAATGTCACGTTCCTTTTTTTCCACATTTTCTTTGCACTATATTTGAAATCTTCTTTCCTTCGCATTTTTCTTTCTTTTGTTTTGATCTTCTTAATCATGGATGATGTCCCTTTTGGTGGCGTCTGTTGATGGGTTAGAATCGTAGTTGGGATGAAAATTTATTAGTATTTCTGTGTAATGATATGGACTGACATCTCATTTACTTGTTCAACCGGAGCATTGCTTTCAGTTTCAAGTTGTTGAATTTTATCCTTTGCTGCTTGCATTTCAGCCTGTAAAGTTTCTTTCTCTTTATTCATGTTGATGACCATGTTGTTCATATTTATTTTCAATGTTTCATCCAAATTCATAGAAGTAGAATCCTAATACAATGCAAAACTATAATATAACAAGAAATGCATTACCCGAACCTTTTCAAAAGCCACTGGTTTTAGCAGCAAGTGATATCATTAGCGGGTTAATTTGGTTTTTTTAGGGTTAATTACAAAAATATTTCTCCCAACTTTAAGCCTCGTTGCAATCAATTCCCTTTTTTTTTTCTCTTTAATTTTAATTTTAACAAATTATCAACTCAAATTTTGAATATGCTTCAATTAACCTAAACCGCTAATTTTGGCAGTGAAAAATGATGGAAGTCAGTCATAAGTCACATGATCTCAAATAAAAATACTAAATAAATTTGACATCCTAAAAAAAATTTAAAAATTATTTTTTTTTAAAAAAAAACACGTATATTGTCTTTGAGAATGTTCTTGAGAGTTATTGGTGAAAAAACTAGATGGCGCTAGAGAAAAGAAGAGTTTTCGTTGACAACGTAGCGGGGATTTGTTGAAAAAGGAAGAGGAAGGAGTTTTGATGTTATAATTAAGAAAATGCAAGTATTGGAGAGGAATAAAGAGTTTTTATAAATGAAGTTTTTTTTTATTTACTATTTCAACAAATCTGAGGTCATGTGACTTACACATGACTTATTTTCTTCATTTTTCACTGCCAAAATTAACGGCTTTGAGTTAATTAAAGCATATTCAAACTTTGAGGGAGAAACTTATTAAAATTAATTAGAAGGTGTGGATTGCAACATCACCCAAAGTTAGAGGGAACATTTAGTAATTAATCTTTTTTTTTTTTTTTTTTTTTTGAAAAAGGACGACAAGATTCATTGAGGGTCAAACGTGTTTGATATCCTTTTTGTGTGGGCTCCACTCCACTCTTGGCTGCATCAATTTTAATGGAGATGGAAATTTTCACTTTATAATTGATGCACCCATTGACACTGCTCACTTGTACTCTGCTGCTTCATTGCTCCTTTCTCTTTTCTTCCCGTTCTTCTTGTTCGTTTTCTCTCTCATCGACCTCTTCTTTTTCAGGTAACCCATTTTAACTTCAGTATCTTTTACCCCACTTAGTTTCATCACCCTACAAGACGGAAAACTTCAAATTTACTATTTGTTCATTGTATTTGGTAGATTCAGATCCCCTGCATTATCCTTCCCTTTAAATTTTCTTAATACAGTACTAGAGGAGTAACACTGGTAAAATTTTAAATTTCGATGAATAAAATTTTTTTTTTATAAGAAAATTCGTTAATAATGGTTATCACTCTACCGACAACAAAAATGAATTAAAAAATATCTTATCCATTGAAATTTAAAATTTTACGCTGTATTGAGGGAAATTGAAGGGAAGGGGTAATGGAAGGATCTAAATCCGTATTTGGTGAATGTTGGTTCAGGGTTTTATCTCATTTGTCTTTTTTATGCCATTATGGGTTTTTTTTTTTTTGTGGTTTTCAAAGTGAAGTTTGGGCGTATTTATATATTGGGTTTGTTTTATTTGTTGATTTGTATTTATCTTTGATTGTTGGGTTCAGTGGTGTATGGATAGATTGGGTATATGCTTGAATATTTGTGAAGTTTTATGCTTTTAGAGTTTGGGGAAAATGTATTCTTCAAATTAAGTGTTAATACCCCTTCTTGTTTTGCTTGTTGCAATGACATATGGGTGTTTTGTCGATAAGAATTGCACACTTTATCAAAATGATGGAATGTGTTCAATATTTGAGATGATTTCTGAAGCAATTAGTTAGATATTTTGACCTAGTTCCATAGCATGCAAATCCTTGAGTAAATTAAGTGTACTGGTAATATACCCTGCAAAATGCTTGAAATTTTCCAATTATACCATTGTGTCCTTTAGTTCAACTTGGTTGCTGAGAAACTGTTGAAGAAATATGAAAGGTCAGGATCTCATGAAAGCCACTCCAACCCTAACTTAGTAAAACACATTTTATTTTCTTTCTCTATTGCATCTTTCAGCAAACATAGTAATATGGTGATTTAAGCGACCAAATTTGTTGAATATGCTGAATGTGACATAGTGGCTGCTATATAACGTGCCAGTGTTGGAAATATCTTCTTCTATTATCATAGCACAGAAACCTCTGTTTGATAATGGAAGAAACTGATAAAGACTTCTAGGGTACTTAATCTGTGAAAAATGGTCTCATTTTACTCATGAATTTCAGGTTTCTCATCGGGGTTGGAATGGTGATGGCAGGAAAACTAGCACTTTGTCAGACCAAGAGGAACAGATCTCCGAATTCTCTAGCTCAGATCCATGGCTTTTGCAAGTGAACGAGTGCAACAAGTGGAAGAGCAGAGAAAGAGTCGACATGACGAGGAGCAAGGGGACCTCTGCCTAAAGTTGAACCCCAATAGTGGGAAACAAGCCTGGTGCTTAATTTTGAATCAGTTACTGCAGGTTATTGCAATTCTCTAGTGATTGATGTCTGTGGTTGTTTCTTGTATGCTTGATCATATTTCAATCTTATGCCGAACAATGGCTTTACTTTGTCGTTTATTTAATAGTTGAATTTGCAAAAATTTTTCTTGGGGTAATGTGAACTTATTGTCTCTGTGAGGATCATCTTTCTTGGTTCTTTTTTGTGCTTAAGTTAGTGGTTCTGAGTGGGCTTTCCCTTCAAACCAAGTGATAAAACATGTCTAAAATCTCAATTGATGTTATCTTGTCCTCTTGATGGTTTTGAGCACTACTAAGAGTTAAACTTACTATGTGCGTTGGATATGTATTGTGGCCATTGGCATTTTATTTCCTTATTGTGTAATTTACATTATTTATTTATGGAATTAATACTCTACATGTGTAGAGAGGGAGGGATAAATACTCAATATATTTATTTGTGATTGGTGTGTGTGTGTGTGTGTGTGTGTGTGTGTGTGTGTGTGTATATATATAGAGAGAGAGAGAGAGTTGGGCAAAGGTCCAAGTTGTCAGGAAACAGGGGTGTACATATGTACATGTATAGAGGGAGTGGGGTTGCGACCTGGGAGTTCAAGGGGTTGGCATTGGAGGGGGGTTGGCTTGAGGGAGGAGCGGGGCAGTGCCAAGGATGATTGAGTTTCGGGGAGTGGGGCAAGGGAATGGGACTTGAAGTGGGTAAGACTGGAGGAGGAAGAGTGTTGCAGTAAAAGGGGGGGGGGGGGGAAGGGGCATGTAA